AAAGTACCTACAAATCGTACCCAACGATTTTACAAAGTTCGATTCGAAATACCTACCTACAATAGGATTTACGAATGGTTTATTTTATCGGTGCTTGAAAGAACCATTCAGAACTCTCTTCTTCTTCTTCTTCTTCTTCTTCTTCTTCTTCTTATTATAAAAAATTAGTCTTCATTCAAAACATCTTTTAAAAGCTCGTCATATAATAAAATTGACTATGCACGAATTGTCATCTTTGAAATGAATTTTCTTCTTCTTCTTCTTCTTTCTTATGGACATGACGTGGTTGTTCATTCTTAGATCATTTAACGAATTTCAATTTAATTCTTATTAGTTAAATCATCCAAGTATATAAACTGTATATACTTGATAATACATTAGTAGAACCATCCGTCTTACTCAGGGGCCCGTACATATATATATATATATATAATCATTAAAAAACCATAAGTGAAGATCGGTTTGTTTTTTTTTTTTCTTTTTCTTTATAAACCCTTTGAGCAACTCTATAGATTGTGCACGTGTTGTTTATTCTTACAACTAGAAATCATTTAACGAATTTCAATTAACCCCTATTAGTTAAATCATCCAAGTATATAAACTGTATATACTTGATAATACATTAGTATAACCATCCGTCTAACTCAGGGGCCCATATTATACACACATATATTATAATCATTGAAAAACCATAAACGAATATGATCAATTTTTGAAAAACCACCAGAGCTCTTGGTATAGACTATGAGTTCATATTTCTGTTTAACAATTGTTATTTACATTAGTATTATAGAAAATGTAATTTTAAAAGTATTCAAAGCTCAAAGGGTTTTAATTCAAATCTTTGTGTTAAAGTGTTTGCTATTTTATCTTTAATATATACATATATATATATATGTATAATAATTATTGACGAGAATACAAATGAACAATCAATTCTGTTGTATACGTCAAACATTACTGGCTCAAATTACAAATTACATTTGACTAGACAGAGACACAAACGAAAGATGTGTCTATTTGTCCTTTAAAGTTCCATAATTTAGCGATAGAGAACAGCAGTCCATTTCTATAAATATATATAGATGATATTTATTGAAGCAAAAGTTTAAAAAAAAAAAATGAATAAATTAAAAGTGAAATAAAAAAGAAGAAAATAAGAACAAATAATCAAGAACCCGTCTTGCAACGCGTCCTTATCTGTCGTTTATCTGATTGAAATAAAAAAAAAAAGAGAAAATAAACAAAAATATGAAATAAAATAAAAATAAAAACAAAAATGAATGGACAAGAACACAAATTATTCTTCGAATCTTTTAAATCCAATCCATCGATCTTTCTCTGAAAAATATAACTCGAAATGGATGATGATGATGATGAACTTTTGTCGCTGTCTGCTGTTAACCACCCCCTCATCATTCGTTTAAACAAATAATACAAAATAATAATAATAATAAGATCGATCGATCGTCGAACTCTTATAAAATACTTTTATCGTTCGACATTTTTAAAATGAAAGATATTGGAATGATAAAAAAAATAAATAAATAAATAAAATAAAATAAAATAAACAACCTATGTACAGTTTGCTTCCAAACAACATTATGTAACATTAAGAAATAGATTTGAAAAGAAGTAAGTAGTTGGATTAGCGCTTTGTTCCCTGAAATTATCATCGGTGATTAGATTTAGCTAAAAAAAATAAATAAATACAAAAAATAAAAATAAAAAGATCGTCATGATGTATCTAGAAAATATCGAATGAACTAAACTATAACAAAACTTATTATATTATAGTAAAAAATAATTCAACAAGTTTTCGATTACTGTATATTATACTTTTGTCAATTTCATTGAAAAAAAAAAAAGAAAAAAAAGAAAACATTATTATTTATCAATGTTGTGCTAAATCAAGTTTTCCTTTCATTTTTATACAAATATCGCGTATTTAAAAAAAAAACAAATAATAATAATAAATTAATAATCGGTTTTTAACTGATGTATAATTTTAAATCTGCACATGTTTATTTAATCTTAATATTAATCTTTTTAAACACCAAGCACGTATTATTATCGTAGGTTTGAAAAAAACTACTGTTGTTTATAGATCATCGAAAATAGAAAGAAAAAGTGAAAGAGTGACAGAGAGAGAGAGAGAGAGAGATAGAGAAGAAGAGAAACAATTAATTAAAAGTCAAACATTTGGTCAAATTACTAGGAAATAAATAACATGATGATTAGTACGTATGACGTAATTAAATAATAACGATGAAGTCCATAGAAAAAAAAAAAAAAAAAAACCAAGATACCTATTTTACACGTTTAGAGGATATACACACATCGAATACGACACACACGTCACTTGGTATTTTGAATAATTCTGTAAGGAAGGAAGAAAGGAAGGAAGGAAGGAAGAAATAAAATAAAATAAAAAATAAAATAAAATAAAATAAAATAAAATGAAAGATCAATCTCAAGTATAGAAAAGACTGCACGACTAGAAAAAGTTGAATTATAATTTTTTTCTTTTTTTTTTTGGTCTTTCTACAAATTTCTCGTCTTTGGTAGAAAAATAAAAAAAAAATTAAAAAAGGAAAAAAAGAATTCTATTATTAATAGAAATTTTATTGAAAAAACATATTAACCCATTGACTGCCAATTACGAGATATCTCGTAGTGTGTGCTGCAATTTCAGATTAATTATAAATGATTATTTACGTTAAGAATTATTAAAAAGATTGAATAAAATATTTATATGATGTAAAAAACATTAATTATCAATTATTGTAAATACCATTACAATATTATATCAGTAACTTAATGTTATTATATTTTTCAAAATTTAAAGCAAGTCGCTCTAAATATGTCTGGTAGTCAATGGGTTAATAATAATAGCGATCATGTAAAATATATATATATACATCATTTTAACGAGAAGTAATTTTCAATAAATTATTTATGAATTTAAAAAAAAAAACAAAAAAAACAAATAAAAAATAAAAAATGATTGGCCCATAACACCTTTTTGTCTTGCAGTCTAGAAAGAAAAAAACTTGATCATTTTTTTCGGATATAGTTGTAAGATAATTTGTAAACTCTCTGTTCGTTAACTGTCATTACCAAGATAAGACAGAAATGATAGGAGAAAGAACGAGCGAGATAAAAAAAAAAATAGAGAGAGAGAAAGATAGATAGAATGAGTTCACATGCGCGTATTTGTGTGCGTGTTTTGAGTGAGAGAGAGAGAGAGAGAGAGAGAAAGCTGAGGGAGGCAATGAACGCAAGCCCGACTTTTACGTTGTAAATAGTAATGTATTATAGTACAACGGATGTAAGTTATCCTCCCTTAATCTTAATAAATTATGACAATATAAGAATGATATATATATACGATTATATATGACTACTACTAATTTTGATTGTGCATATTATTTTTGTCCTCTAACTATTTTTCATTAAACGTAGCATTTGTTTTTTTTTTCTTTTTTTTTTTCTTTTCCCGTGTAAAAACTAGAAAAAAAAAAAAAGAAAAAAGAGAAAAATAATAAGCAAGAAAAAGTGATTACACAAATTAAAAGGACAATATATATTTAGGTT